CATAAAATATACGGAGAGAGGAATCGGCATAATAAAGTAGGAAAATTTACTGAAGAAGTGCGGGAAATATTCTTAAAACAGCTTCTTCGAAATTTCGTTATCTTTTTTAAGATAGAAAGCCGAATCACTAACAAAGGAATTTTCTTTCGGGATGTTGACAACGTCAAAACAAAAAGAGAAAGCACCCCTTCCTGCATATCCATACAAGACCCGAGTAGGCGGGTCGAGGTCCTTAGAAGGCTTAACAGTCCTCCTTATTAGCAGCCCAGATCTGTTTTGTGCTCGGCTTGATGCTATCTCAGATGTCCATTCAAAAAGAGCTATTGGGGGCAGCCCTACTAATTCGTATTCGTCTTTTAAGACAGGAGCTCCTAGGCAAACTCGGAAAAGAAGGAGTGGCATGCCAGAAACGGGGAGTTGAGGTGGTTAGACCTATACCCCGAAATGCTCCCAGCATAGGAGCCTATGGTTCCATTCTTGTTGTTGCTGGAGGTACACATCCCTCTTCTCGGTGACGAACCCTAAGTACACACTACCTTCCCCAGATTCTACTTGTGAAATTCAACCGGTTGTTATTGTTATTGGTGGTGCGCGCAAGCTGATCCGACACTAGAGTTATTTAAAAAAAATAGACCAAAAGTGAAATGGAGGAAAAGATAAATTATAGTATATAAATAAATTTAGACCTTTTTAATTAAATAAGTCCCTTCATCAAAGAAAAAAGTGTTTTTTGCTTTAGCATTTGTTTGACCCCTCTTCCTCATTTTCTCCTAATAGTCCAAAGCCTCTCTCTCTCTCTCCCCCTCAGCTACTGCTACAGTACTAAACTGAAGGAAGCTACAAAGCCAATTCTTTCCTCTACACTCTAATTCTTTTTTCACAGCTAAAGCTAAGTCTTCAACTTGGTTTTAAAGGGTATAGTGTAATTATTCAGGTACTTATCTTGTTGTTGCAATTTACCCATTTTACATGTCAAGATTCAGTTTTTTTCATCTGGGTCTTTTTTGTTGTTAAGGATCTGATTTGGGGTTTTGCTGAAAGTTTTAATCTTGATCAAGATCTGATTTTTATTTAATTTACCCTTAATCATGTTTACAGATTTGTTAAATTATGATGAATCCACCGTCTTCTATTATATTATGAGTTGTTGGCTTGATTTACTTTTTATGTGGTAAGCTTACTTAGTTTCTTGTTAAATATCTGTTTTTTGTTGGATTTTCTGTATCTTGTAGCTTTCCATTTATATCCTCTAAATAGTCTAATGTTCTGCATGCAAATGTGCTTGAGAGATCTTTAGTTGATTCCCTGATTTGGAGCTGATCTAGTACTTAGTGATCAGTTCTGTCCAACAAATTCTATTGGCTCAAACCGAGACCTCTGGTTACACATGAAGGGATACTTTACCACCCCAATAAACATAATTTGTTGGAAAAGACTGTTTACCCTTCAAAATGGGACTTTTCGGTGCAAATCCAAATTAGTCGAGCCCCAAATTCGTTTCGGACACAGGGTGGGAAACAAAAGAAAACCACTATTTTCCCCCTTTTGATAGATACAAATGCATTTTGTGCTGAAAGTAACACCTTGGTTCTCAAAGAAGAGACTTAAACTTAACCAATTTTTAGACTCTGTAGTCTCTTTTTAATGGTAAATTTTTGGTCTTGTTTGCAGGATAAGGGCGATTGGAATGGCCGACAGAGGACGGTGTCGTAGTTTGTAACTTATTCTCCTGTATCGTTGTGTCACTGATGGCTTCAAATTTTGGTGCTAGACCTCCCCTTGAACCAAAACAGAAACCTGTTTTGGCTGGACAAACAGCGGAAAAAAATGATTCTAGCTCATTTCTTACACAGTTGTCAAAAATGAATGAACTTAGCCTTGCTCTTTCTGATAAATTGCCGGAATCTGGTAAAATTACAACACATGTTGTGGACCCGGCTCTGAATGATAAAAAGTCAGCTAACAATCAAAAGGGGTCCAGTGATCTGTCAATTGATAAATCTAATACTCCCACTGATATTCAGAATGTGTTGACACCTGCGCGACATGAAGCAAATGGAACTAGAAGCTCTCTCGAGTCTTCTACTGATCAAGAAAAGAAAACATCGGAGCAAACTAGTGGAAAGAACAGTTCAGTTTCTGCTAAAGTCAGCGATGGTACTAGTAGTCTAGCCAAAACTAGTGATCGTGCTGATTTTGTTGAGAGTGGAAAGAGCAGCATGTGTAGAGGAAGCACCAGCACTGATGTGAGTGACGAAAGCAGCTTTAGCAGTTTTAGCAGCAGTGTAAACAAACCCCACAAAACAAATGACTTGAGATGGGAAGCTATCCAAGCTGTCCGATCTAAAGATGGTAGTTTAGGTTTGAGCCATTTCAGACTTCTGAAAAGGTTGGGTTGTGGTGATATCGGGAGTGTCTACTTGGCTGAACTGAGTGGAACCAAGTGTTACTTTGCTATGAAAGTCATGGATAAAGCATCTCTAGCCGGCCGCAAGAAGCTTCTTCGTGCTCAGACAGAAAGAGAAATTTTACAATCCCTCGACCATCCTTTTCTTCCATCTCTCTACAGCCACTTTGAGACTGATAAATTTTCATGCTTGGTCATGGAATTCTGCCCCGGAGGGGATCTACATAGTCTTAGGCAGAGACAGCCAGGGAAACATTTTTCTGAACAAGCAGTGAAGTATGACCTCTTTTCAGCTTTTTGGTGATACAATTTTTCCTGCTGCTACTTTCTGAAATCCATAATGTTTTACTACTTTTTTCGAGGAACAGGATCATTATTCTAGAACTTCCAGTCATAGATCCATCATTGAAGAACGCTGTTTCAACAAAGTAGTCTAGTTGTTGCTCTTATATGAAAGTTCCTCCAATTTTGTCATCTCCAGGTCCACAGTTTTGCAGTTTTTGAATATTGCCCTGAAGTTAAGGCAATAAGTTATCAGTTTCTTCTTTCAGTTCCTAGGATATACTCTACTGGTGTTTGGAGCAGGCAAATTTATTTAGTCAACTGCAATTTGAACCTTATGCTGCTGTACGACTGACATAATTCACAAGTGCCTTTAAATTTTGTTGGAAGCTTAGAGGAAATAACTACCCGCCTTCCCTTACCAAGGTTCTAGGAGCATCTTTTGCAGTTTTGAGAAGTCATGGTTCTCAATTTTCTTTGTTGAGTAATAAGTCTATTGCATGTGATGCCATTTGTTTTTCAATATTCAGACTTTTCAATTGTTTTTTGTCTCGCCACCAAGTTACCAAATTTCCTCTCCTTCGTTTTCATTTAGGGAGTTTGGATTCTTGCTCATATTCCAAGGATTCATTTTAGAGATTAGAAATGAAATTTTAGTTTTCTCTCCAGCAAACAAAATTGTCCTTTGGTTCCGACTAGAATAATAGTTTAGCCAAGAAATATGGTCTACTGCGTCCCGTGCGAGGAGAATACTCTTTGCTATATCAAGTGTTTTATTGACATGGTCTATGTTACTGAATGTTAACTTCCTCCATTTTCAGATTTTATGTTGCTGAGGTCCTTCTAGCTCTAGAGTATCTCCATATGCTTGGGATTATCTACCGCGACCTTAAGCCAGAAAACGTCCTTGTTAGAGAAGATGGACATATAATGCTTTCGGACTTTGACCTATCGCTTTGTTGTGCTTTTAGCCCAACGCTGGTGAAGACATCATCCCTGGAGTCAGAGCCTCTGAGGAAGAATTCTGGTTACTGTGTCCAGCCGGCGTGCATTGAACCTTCCTGCATTCAACCATCATGTGTTGTTCCTACAACATGCTTCTCTCGTCGCCTCTTTTCCAGTAAGTCCAAGAAGGATCGGAAACCCAAAAATGATATCGGCAACCAAGTTAGGCCATTACCAGAGCTTATGGCAGAACCTACTGCTGCTCGCTCTATGTCATTTGTGGGAACCCATGAATACTTGGCACCAGAGATTATCAAAGGTGAAGGTCATGGAAGTGCAGTGGATTGGTGGACTTTTGGAATCTTTCTCTATGAGCTCTTGTTTGGTAAAACTCCATTTAAAGGTTCTGGTAACCGAGCTACATTATTCAATGTGGTGGGGCAACCTCTTAGATTTCCAGAATCACCAGTTGTTAGTTTTGCAGCAAGAGACCTGATTAGGGGTTTACTCATAAAAGAACCACAGAACAGATTAGCATACAAAAGAGGGGCAACTGAGATAAAACAACACCCTTTCTTTGAAGGGGTTAATTGGGCACTAATACGCTGTGCTACCCCTCCCGATGTCCCTAAACCTGTTGAATTTGAGAGACTACCAATTCCAGCAGCATCTACAATTCAAAAGACTGCTCTTGCCGCAGTGCCTCCCAGCCAAAAGGGTTCTGATAACTACCTCGAATTTGATTTCTTCTAGTAAATATTAACCTGACTGGTAATTTTTCTGAATTGGTGGAGAACAAATCCTGAATTCAGGGATTGCTAGTGATCAGGATGGCAGGTTCTTCTTATCAAAATGGTATATGAGCAAGGTCCCGTCGGCACTATCCATAACGGTGTCAGACCTTATTATCTGTGAACCGCTACATGCTTCAAGCTAGAGCTGCCAACCATTTTCAGTCTCCGTATTTACAAGGGTGTCCAAACGGTAAAAGGTGAGTGTATTCCAGTATAAGGAGTTTTAGAGGTATTTCCAGTATAAGGAGTTTTAAAGGTATTTCCAGTATAAGGAGTTTTAGAGGTATGCAATTGGATTACTCAAATTCAGTGCGCGTGGCTTTAGGTGATATGGCATGCCATGAACAGGAAACTGCTTTTGGGCACATGACCATAGTTAAGCAAGTCGATTGTATATTGCTTTTGGATACTAGCTAGAATTTGTATTCCAGCCCAAAGGTACAGTATAGTGTGAGATAGTTTAGATTCAATCTCAAGTTATGCGACAACCATACTTTTGGATGTTGGTGTATTTCCAGACATTAGACCACAGTGAATTTGCTACCTTTTACTTTCTTCTATGTACTATTTGCTTTTTGGCTCATTCAGAAGAAAACGAGGGAGTTCTCGTTTTTGCTTTTCCTTGTCATTCCTTAAATATCAGGCAATAATATCAGTATATCTTTAGCCACATATTATTCCTTGTCCATGGATTAGGAAATGAAGGGATGCTTGGCGTAACTTGTAAAATTGCTGCCATGTGACCAGGAGGTCAAGGTCACGGGTTCGAGCCGTGGAAACAGCCTCTTGCAGAAATGCAGGGTAAAGCTGCGTAGAATAGACCTTTGTGATCCGGCCCTCCCCCGGAACCCGCGCATAGCGAAAGCTGAGTGCACCGGGCTTCCCTTTTTCATGGGTTAGGAAATCTGCCACTTTTGCAATAAAGCAGCCATTGTTTATTAGGATCTTAGCAGGAAGAAGTGAAAAATGGGAAAAATAAAGATCTACTTGTGAAAAATGGGAAAAATAATGTACAGTTACTGTTAATAGTAACATGTAATTTGTCGTATGATAAAGAAGGGAGATGATTGTGAGAACCAGTTGTTTGGTGATAGATATTTACATATTTCAAGTCTTTGGGTAGGATACTATGAGCTATAAATCTAAGGCATGACCTTGGCTCCAAAACATCCTCCACATCCAATGGATTCATTCTGGACTTCTTGATTTTGATTCTGGATGTGGCCTTCCATGGACTTTGAGCTGCCATTGGAGTTCCGGAGAGAAGGAGATTCAAACATCTGTAGCTCTACAATTTCCTTGCCTTCACATATGATCTTAACCTCACAGAACTCTGGTGCATTTTGTAGTATCTGATCAGCCGTTCCGTTACCTCTTCTTGATCTCATTTTCCTATCAGATGAATGCATGTACATTATATGGAAAGCAGCTTAAAACTGATGGAGAAGTGGAGTAGCAGTTAAGTGGTTTTTGTTCCTACTTGAGATTGGCTTTAGAAGTACCAAGAATCAACTTTCTTATGTTGCAGATGGGAATGAGGTCCAGTATAGCTTTGGCTTCCATGTCACTCTCAATTAGTATAGTGTCCACTTTAACCTGTTGAAAGTGGCATACATATCATAAAGTAATATTTGACTTATATACATAGTATAATTTTTCGGCAAAGGGTGTTCAGTTGACCACCCTTGAGCTATGCGACGCCTCACTGCTGTTTCTGCAAGTTCCTAACATGCTATTGGGAAATATATGAAATTATGTTTAGTTTATTTGTGCACCTTGGAAGCAGAGCAGATGTCAACAAACTTTTGGAGAAACTGCCTTCTTTTGCTTCTTCCTTGAGCCATATAGTTTTCTTTCTGCACTTCATTCACTTGGTCTATTGGAATCATTCCCACTGTTGGATCATCATCATTAAACATTTATCAAATTGGACAGTTATACAGCACAATAAACCAAATTAGATCTAAATTCAAATAATTTTTCTTTTTTAAAAAGGGAAATATAAAATACTCCTCTGTTAACGAAATATTTTAATTTTATCCTCTATTATATTCTGAGGTCATTTATACCCTTGTACTTAGCAAATTGTCTCGTATTTACCCTTTAACCCGATGAAGCTCTATCTCAAGTATAATAGAATGTCACTTTAAAACATAAGGAAAAAGGGCAGCGCGGTGCACTAAGCTTCCGCTATGCGCGGGGTCCGAGGAAGGGTCAGACCATAAGGGTCTATTGTACGCAGCCTTACCCTGCATTTCTTTAAGAGGCTGTTTTCACGGCTCGATCCCGTAACCTCCTGGTCACGTGGCAGCAACTTTACCGTAAAGTCAAAGGCATTTACGAGACTATTTCTTGTGCATTTGTGTGTGTGTGTGTGAGAGAGAGAGCTTACAAGGAGTAGGGATGAACTTGGTTTGAGGGAAGATATGAATGAGGAAAACAATGGCAGAACTTGGATTGAATACACCATGTTTGAGAGTCCAAAACAATGCATCAATACTTGACTCCAGGCTAATCTTGTTTGTATTAGCAGCATTATTATTCCCAACAACAACATAAACAATATCATGATCTCCTTTATTATTAAAGTCAAAGGAAAATAAACTGCCTTCCACTTCACCTCCATGATCTATTTCAAATAAATCACTTGTAGAATAATAAAATTTCTCCTCCTCTTGGAATTCTTCAATTTCATTGACCAAATTGTTGCCATTTTTTCCATTCATTGTTTTTATCGACAACAAATTAATGAAATCAAGATGATGATCCCACTTTGTCTTGTCCTTTGTTATTTGCTTCCAAAAGATTCAATTGTTTGAAAAAACTCAGACAGACAAGTGTAGGAAAAGGTTGCTACCAAATGAGACATTTTTATAAAGATAAATTAATGATGTTAGCGGGCGATTTTGTTTTTTCCCAAAGGTCGTTTGTTTTAAAAGAGTGAAACAATTTAGGAGGTGACACTTCAGCAAAAAAAATATTTAAGTCGAACAGAAGTTTAATTTCCGATTATTGTGATCATTTGGTTACTAAGGTGAAAATATTGTGATTTTCATATGACAAAACAAAGTTGTGTGATTTTTATGCAAACAACGGATAGTTGTGTGACCATTTGTGAATTTACCTTAAAAATGAACCATCATTTACGGAGCACTTAGGGGTCGTTTAGTTGGAAATAAATTATCTCATGATTAATTATCTCAAGATTAGTTATTCCGGGATTAGTTATCCTTCCCTCCCATAGGGATAAAAAAACACTAGAATCCCGGGATAATTAATCCCGTGATTAGTTATACTGCAATTTTATTCAAACCAAACATGGGATAAACTCATCTTAAATTTAATCCCGGAATTAATTATCCCTTATCCCTCATACCAAACGAGTCTTTAGGGGTCATTTAGTATGATGGATTAACAAAAATAATCCTGAGATAAAAATTTAGTACCACCTTATCCCTTATTTGGTTACTAACCATGGGATACGTCATCCCAAGATTAAAAATAGTTATATTGTCCAGAGAGTGGAGTAGTAATCCCAGGATAAGGCTATAAAATTGACAATCCCAGGATTAATACAATATAGCAAATAGTCAATAATAAATAATAACAGAATAACTAATCCCAATATAACTAACCTCAATATAACTAATTCCAATATAACTAATCCCAACATAACTTGTTTTCATACCAAACGATCCCTTATGCATTTATAAGTCCCATAAGAAATTCAATTCCATGACCTGGCTGATAATGTGATGTCATTACTTATCATGTTAATGTACTTTAATTTCTCAAACAAAAAACCAATTTAAATTATGAAAAAATTGTTTTACTCTGTCTATAAAATCTTGTAAAATATAGATGATCTCAACTCGAATAAAAGGAGGGTAAGAATAGCTTAACAGTAGCATAAAAATAGTGTATATTATAATAAATCCTCTAAAATAGATAAACCTCAACTACTGTGGAATAAGGTGTTATACATTTAATTTAACGCAAACCCCTTTAAAGAAAAAAGAAAAGGTAAGTACTTACTTTGTTCAGAACATCTAATAATTGGTTGTTGAACCTTTTATTAAATGTTAAAAAAAAAAACCTTTTATTAAATGTCAGGACGTTATCGTAATAGAGACTTCCAAAAGAATATGCGAATAGCTAACAGCATCTTGGCGCCTCAAATAACAGGAAATTGTCCAAGTCAATGCATTTTGCTTATGATATATTTCTTCTCGATTATTTAATAAGTCAGACTAGTTGAAGCTAGCAGTGCTAATAATATGCTATATTGACTGGAATATAATTAAAAAAACGTTTCGACAATAAATCTAATGAATACTTGTATTGAGATGCAAAATACTTGAAGCTAGTAATTCGGTGATATTCATTAACTGAATCCCTTTGGTGAAAATTATATTATAATCAATATATAGGTGAAGAAGTATTTGTATATGTATATATAGACATTACTGAATCGCTTAGGCACAAAAAACCCTTTGCTTTTTGGCTCTTACAGAAGAAAAAGAAGGGAGTTCTCTCTTTTTTATTTTTTTTATTTTGATTCTATCAGGCAATAACATCAGTTTATTAGGATCTTAACAGGAAGAAGTCAAGTGAAAAAAGGGAAATAAAGATTACTTCTTTATTGTGTTAGTTAGGGCATTGCTCAAATAATATATTTATATTAAAAAATAACTAAATATCTATAAATATTTAAATGTGAACTCAATTATTATTGTAGTATTAACTTGAGGTCGTTATAACTTGTAGAAACCCATAAACGTTAAATCCTAAATCCTGGATTTGCCTCTGCCTCTCAATTCAAAATGTAATTATCTTGAAGAACAAAAGGTCTGTTATGCTTAAATATACCTTACATTTGGTGATACAATAGTAATAGTAACATGCAATATATATATGGTATGATAAAGAGGGGGAGGTCCTTGTGAAAACCAGTTATTTAGCGATAGAAATTTACATCCTTCAAGCCTTTGGTAAGGACACTATGAGCTATATATAAGGCATGACCTTGGCTCTGAAACATAGTGTCTATTTCTTCCGCTTACCATCGGACCCTTTTCTAACAATATTCTTATATAATATCCGTTCACCATAAAAGTCAAGTATTTTTCAGAATCAATTTTTATATTATATTTTAGTTTTCTATAACAATTTTTTTACGTAAAAATTGCACGGGCCGCCTGTTTGATCTCTCCCATTTAATCTGTACCCACTTTTAAATATTTTTTTTAACTTGTACCCATCGTTTAAACAATTTCAAGCATTCTTCTTCTTCTTCTTCTTCTTCGGGTAACAGTGATTTTATATGGTGTTTGTGAACATATTTTAAGGTAGTTTATGACGTTTTACAGTGGTGAGTTGTTGTGGCGCTTTATTTTTTATTATTGCTTAGAGTTTCTTTTTTTTTTTCCTTAATTGCAAATTGGTTTGTTAGATATATTGTTGTTTTGACAAAAGTGTTCTTGATGACATTTGGGGATTATGTTTCAAATTTGAGCTCATTTGGAGTAGATTTAGGTATTAAATCATATATTGGATTATTTAAATTCAAAGA